CGGGGCCTGAACAAGCAAAAGCCCGTGACGAAACCAGCTGGGACCCATGTGGAAGCCCCAGAGGGTGCTCCAGCAAACCGACAGCCTTAACAAACTGCCACCAAGCCGGCAGATGCCAGTGTCACGCCACTCTGTCCAAACCCGGCAGTTCTGCCAATGTCTGCCCCGAACGACCATGGTGGAAAACCAGAGGGATGTCGTACAGGGAGGCGGACGGCCAGGTGCCGGGAAGGCCCTGTGCTCCTCAGGGTGCTGGAGGCGCAGGCCGCTTCGCCACCTCCTGACGGGGTCCCGACGGCAGGCACGCAGCAGACCTGCTTCCTCTCCCGTCACCTGATGGGGTGAAGCCCAGCACGGGGACGTATGCACACGCACACACGAGGCAGCCTGGAACAGGCCAGCTGGTCCCCGGCACTGCGGAGGAGAGCCCTAGAAGCACCAGGGGGCGGGCGGCAGGGGACAGCATGAACGGGGGCCAGCCTCCTACTGATCGCTCCAGAGAACCCCTATCCCACAGTGCCCTCCAGGCCGACTTCCAACAGGAACCAGAAAGATTCTGGACTCGGTGTCCCGTGGGGGGCGTGCAGCGCATGGATCTCCGAGGTGGGCAGCGGCACTGGCGAGAGCTGTGTGGGCGACGCGAGCCCACGGCAGTGCCCACGGCAGGCTGGGCACACGGCTCTGCACTGTGCACAGGGACACTGCACGGCCAGAGCTCCCAGAGGCTCCGACGGGCTGCTCCTCACCAACAAGCCCATTCTGAGCGTGCACTGGACACACATGAGCACAAGGACCTGCTGGGACCGAGGGAAAGGGAGCCGTTTCTCTGGGTTTGCTGGTCTCCAGGAATATACCGGACACAGTGAATGGCTGTGTACTGAGTGGCTCAAAATGGGGACACACAACACTCCCCAGGAGCGCACACCTGGGCGTCTCCTCCACCGACACCAGAACTCATGGCCCTGCACTAGGCACCGCACTCTGCCGCCACCTGCTTCAACCACGCTGACCACAGCCGCAGAGTCCATTCTGACCCAGGGCAACCCCGCGTGATTAGGGCCGAGCCCATACTGACCCAGGGCGCCCCCAGATGCTCAGGGCCGAGCCCACTCTGACCTGGCGCCCCCATGTGGTCAGGGCCGAACCCACCCTGACCTGACACACCTCCACGTTGTTGGGGGCAAGCCCACCCTGAACTGATGAACCCATGTGCTCAGGGCCAAGCCTACCCTGACCTGATGCACCCACGTGGTCAGGGCCGAGCCCACCCTGACCTGACACACCTCCGCATGGTCGGGGCCAAGCCCACCCTGACCTGACGCACCCACGTGGTCAGGGCCGAGCCCACCCTGACCTGACACACCTCCGCATGGTCGGGGCCAAGCCCACCCTGACCTGACACACCTCCGCATGGTCGGGGCCAAGCCCACCCTGACCTGACACACCTCTGCATGGTCGGGGCCAAGCCCACCCTGACCTAACGCACCCACGTGGTCGGGGCCGAGCCCACCCTGACCTGACCCCTGCATGCTCAGGGAGGACCTGCGCTCACAGGGTCCCCACAGTTGGCTGTTTAGAAGGAAATCAGCAGTCCGTTCCCCCGTGGTCCCTCTGGGGGGATCCGAACCACCACCTTCCCAGTCAGCAGTCAAGTGCTTGACCTTCTGAGCCCCACAGGGCCTCCTGCTAAATGCTTAAGACGCTGCAGGAGGGGTAGCAGGGAGCCCGTGGCCACTGCAGAGCCAACAGGAAGGGGTGGCTGCCCCACGAAGGACCAACAGGCAACACTGCAGGGCTCCGAGTCCTCCCTAAGTCTAGTTTAGAAGGGTTACAAAGTCAGGACGACCCAAGGGACGAGGCTTGTCAACCACTCCGTCAGCCCACACACCTGGCTGCCTGCTCTCTTCCTAACCGAAGGATTCAGTCTCCTTTCCTAAGTGATGTTTTAAATTATTGGTTCCCTGGGACTACCTCTTCCTTACTCAATACAGCCATCCTCTCGGGTCTTTAAGAAACAAACGGAGTACAGTCAATCAGGCAGAGGACAAGCGTGCAGGGCACGGGGGGCAGCACAACGCTCGCACCAGCACGCAGCCACGTTCCAGGCACACACAAGCGGCCACCACCGGGTGCCTCCTGGGCAGAACGAGGTGTCCGAAGCGACAATCGTGGGCAGGCAGTCGGGCTTTACCTTAGGCAGCTGTGTGAATGGTAAGCTTGTCAGTCGTGTGGGAGGGAATCCTGCCTTCTCTCCGCCATTTCAGCGTTCACAACGTGCAGAATCATCCGACACAGAAACTTCACGTGGGATTACAGCCAAGTCCAGGCAATTACTCCACAGACAGATGTACAGCAACCAATCACATGCACACACCAAGCAACAGCAGCAAATAGGAAACCAAGGCCAGGTTGACAATTCTTGTTTCAAACTAAGAATTCCCAACCAACTAACAAGAAAATACTGGCGGTGGGGGTGTAAGCTGTCGTCAAGTCAGTTCTGACCCACAACAACCCACATACAACAGGATCAAACACTGCCCAAGTCTGCACCATCCTCCCGATTGATGCTGTAAAGGAAAAAACAAAAAAAAAACTGGTCTCTGAGAAAAACGATGTGAAAAAAGGGCCCACACCAGCACCTTGTCAGGCTCTGACAAAGCTACAGACACGCGGACCCACTATCGGCGCCCGCGGAAGCAGCAGTCAAGAAACCAAACATCACAGCCTCTGCACAGACCTGCTCAAAAGACTTCTTCACAGCGTTGAAGAGCAAAGATACCCCTCTGGAGACTGAGCGCACCTGACTCAAACTGTGGCGTTTTCCATCACCTCAAACGCGTTTGAAAGCTGGACCATGAGTAACTGAAGAAGAGTTGATGCCTTTGAATTCTGGTGTCGGCAAAGAACACTGACCAGACCAGACCACGGAGCGCCAGAAGAACTAACAAATCTGTCCTGGAGGAAGTGCAGCCGGAACCGAGAATGGCCAGATGTTGTCTCGCCTACTTGGGTCATGTTGTCAGAAGGAACCATTGCCTAGAGAAGGACATCATTCCCGGTACAGTGGGGGGTCAGCCAGAAAGAGGAAGACCTTCAACCCGACAGACTGACACAGGGCTGCAACGACGGGCTGGGCACAGTAGGACCGTGGGGCTGGTGCAGGACCCGGCAGTGCTCCGTTCTGCTGTGCACAGGGTTGCTGTGAGCCGGAGCCAGCTCGGCAGAACTTAACAACAACAACAGAAAACACAAGCAAAGAAAATAAGCCAGTAAGTTTAGTTCCACACCACAATCATCTACCTTGTTTATTCACAATGGACACACACACACGTGACTGAGTGTGGACATGTTTGTGTGTGTGTGTGTGCATCACAGGAACACACACACAGCACGCAAGCCCTCCTTACCTGTGACAGCTTTTTGGTTAGCAACTGAGCAATGAACTCTAGCTCAGTTACAATGTCACAGGCCTGAAATGGCACAATCCCAAAGCAAGAAAGAGACTTTCAGGCAGCTGAGCTCCTCTCATGAAAAAGTTCAGTTATACCAGAAATCCACACTGGTAAGACCAGAACGGTAAGCTACAACCTAGAGCCAAGAGCTCAGTGGGTAACAAGAATAAGGAATTTCCACTTACAAACACAAGAAACAAAGGCACCCTTTGTCTGTCCAACCCAGGACACATCATACCTGCATTGCGGCCTCGGCCTACCTGAGACGCAAACGTGACTGCACGCACAGTAGGGGCCCGCCTTCATCAGCCATCTCTCCACGGCAGAAGCATTTTCAAAAGGCCTAATTAACTTGAAGCCGATTCTTGCAGCAAACAGATGCACGTGGCTCCTGGAGGACCCCAAGGGGTTAGGCACCAACCGGCCTAGGTCCTCGTGTCCAGGAGCAGCACCTTCGTGGACTGAGTGGGCTACTGGAACGAGCAGCAACACTTGGCTCTGGGGGTTATGGCGACAGCTAAGTCGTCAGCCACGGCAAGATCCTCCGCTACAGCCCCCGACACCTCACGGTGAGTGGCAGTGGAAGTCCAATCTCTGTTCCACTGGGCAGTGCGGCCTCCGCGAGAGGGGCCCTTCTGACCCAGTGGCACGTCACGTTTCCATCAGTGACGCTTCACGACTTCCACGAGCAGTCCACAGCTGCTCATCGCAACATACCGCTTTCCGTTCTAAAGCTGTGAGCGTTACAAAGAGGCAGAAGTCACTCACTGAAGAACTGTCCTTAGAGCTGAGGTGTGAGGTAAGAGGCCATGCACAACCTGGAATTCTAAGAAGGCAACAAGCCACAGGCCAGCAGGTCCTGCGTCAGATAGGCGGCTCTAAGCGCGCCCCGAGCACGGCCTGGCAGCAGGCCCGCCCTTTCCTCTGCCCCACCCCCCGCTCAGCAGAGCCACGGTGCTCACTGTCACGTCTCCAGCCCGGGCTCTGAGGAGCCTTCTCGCTAGTTTAAGAAAACCAGCTGCCACTCAGTGACCGGGGCTCGCGGTGCCCCCACGTGTGGGACACTACAGCTGTGCTCGGTAGGGTTTCCGGCGGCCGAGTTCTCAGCTCAGCAGAGCCTCGCCCTGGACTCGAACTGTCAACCTTTCAGTTAGCAGCCGGGCGCGTTTACCGCTTGCACCACTCAGGGCCTCCCCGTGTTTTCTGACACACGCACTCAACTCCTCCCCTCAGCACGAACGCTCCGCCCTGGTGACTAGGAAACCTTCCTTCGTTTAGGAAGGAAGAGCAGCTATACGGCGTCCCGAGACCGCAAAGAGGGAACGTTAGGCGGAGCGGAGCAGGGCAGACCAGAGCCGCGCGACAGGTGTGACGTCCCAGGAGAAGCGCGGCAGCGAGAGCGCCGGGGACGCCGCGCCCCGCCCGGGCACTGTCCTGCTTCACAACACACCAACCCCGCCAGGCCACCGTGGGCGGCCGGGCCAGTGTGCACACGCCAAACGGTGCGCATCGCAGCCAGAACGCCACGCGAACACGCGCGCCACCTGCCTACACACCGTCCCCGGGCCGCGTGCGGGAGCCCCCAGCGGTGTGCAGAGCACAGCCCCCACGAGGACACCGCGCGCCGGACCACAGCGCCCCCAGGGCGGTGAGCACCGTGTGAGCGGAACTCTTCTCACGGAGTCTGGCAGACGATGTCACAAGGAGCACGCCGAAAGGTCTTCTGTCCTCATGTGATTTACAAGGGCTGTTCCTCGCGAAAGGAAACATCCAACAGCACCTCGGGGTGGAATTACTTATCTCCAGCGCTTTCAGTCGCCAGCATCTCCACGAAGGGTCCCCGCCCAGCCCCAACGCCAGGCACGTGCTTCCACGATGTTCCTGGCACTCGCTCGCTCCTCTGCAGACGGCCCAGGGGCGCAGGCTCCAGGGAGGCGCACCGCCACGCACGCTTGGCAATGCGAGCGCAGGCTCCGCGCCACAACCCGGAAGTGCTTCGCGGAGCCCTACTTGTTTGCGGGCGGAGGCTGCGGCAGCTCGGGCTCCATTAGATCCAGACAGCACTGGGGGCCCAAGGGGGTGGTGACAGGTGAGTGCAGGCACCCACGCGGCACACAGAGACGCCAGTGCCCCGGGCCTGAGGCCACACGCTGGCTGGAGACC